TCTGTGAGCTCATATGCACCGTGATCCCTTCGTATCTGGAGAACACTATTTCCTCGTTGACCATTCATCCCCTCTGGCTCTCAGAACCTTTCCACCTCCTCTTCCCTGCAGCTCTTTATATATTGTAGCCGTTCTTCTCTTGTATCCTGTTCTGTAACATTTGTATACAATACTGGAAAGCTTATCTTTTAATGTCTGTTCTCCCTCCCCCGCCATGGATATCCTCAGATATGCTAGAATTATACACACACACCCACATCTATCCATTGATCAAATGTCCAACAAAAGCCTATTAGGTTTGCGGACTACAGTGCTGTGTAAAACACATTGGTTCCTGCTGGAGTTTGTCGGGTGTGCATCCGGCAAACATCAGATATCTGCTTGGCTGTCTGCTGGGACCTCAGACAAGCAGAGACAGCTCTGCCTGCCGGGCTTCCTACAGCCTGATGCTTAACATGTGGCATCCTCTTGGGCGGGTCTTGTGGAGCCCAGCAGAACCTGACCCAGAATGGGGCTCCGTCTTGGGGCTCTCGGGGTGGGGGGGAGTGAGGGAAGGCTTTCCGGGGATGACTTGTCAAAGGGTGCAGAAGGCTGATTTGGAGCTGACAGGAAGGAGGAAAATCTCTAGAAAAAAAGTTTTAAGGTCACTCCAGGCCAGATTTGGGTCTGGGCACCAGGCCTCTGGGGCTTAACTGAGGTCCAAAGACTACTTTCATTTGTCTGTCGGCCCAGCATTTGAGACTTATCCCTCCCCCTGAGGCCCCATCTGCCCTGCCTTCTTCAGGTAAGTCATTTTTTGGTCCAATGAGGAGGACATCAATGCTGAAGGCCAGATGCCTGTGTTGGAGGGCCTGCGCCAAGGACCAGAAGAACCACGTGGAGTCCCACCATGGCCATGCTACTTTGTCTGACCTCGGCTGGGACTTGGCCTCCTGCCCTTTGGGAGTTCACGGGGAGGTAATGTCTCCTCCAAGTAGAGACTGGCTCCTTCCCACTCCAGAGAGGCCTGCGTATATAGATAAGGCTCTAAGGAACCAAACAGCTGGGACTCCTATGACTGTCCTGCTCTTGGTATAGGGCCCTAGAGAATCCTGAGGCAGAGGATCTACCATGGCAACGCCTCTAATGTTGACGGGGTGTTATTTCCCTCCATGGCCCCTGCTTCCTGTGAAGTCTGGGGAATAGCTAAGAGTTCAAGTTCATTTGATGACACCAGCAGAACCATGACAGAGATTGGCATCTTGACTACCCCAGGTGGCCCAGAAAATGTTACAGATCACACTCTGGCTCTTTACCTCTGGGGGCACCTGGGGCTGTCTCCTTTTGCCCCAGAGGGAAATTCCTGAGTGAAAGACTCGGGGCCATGGGAGTAGCTTCATGGACTTCAGAGTCATGTATGGTTGAAATCGCTCTGCATCTACTCTGCACAACACTGGGCAGATAGACATCTCTGAGCCTCGCTTTCCCCATGTATCACCCCTAAGCTGTAGGACGGGGCACCGACGGAGGGCATGTGGCAACTCTTGATTGAAAAGTCAGGTTTGCCCCTGGTACCTCCTCAGAAAGTCAGTCAAAGGGACCAGCAAGATGGCTCAGGAAATGACATTGTCAGCTGCTGAGACTGACAACCCAAGTTCGATCCCCTGAAACCCATAGAGTAGAAGGGGAGAACTGACTTCTGCAAGCTGTCCTCTGAGCTCCATGTGCATGCCATCCACACAGACATACAGCACAGACACACAGACACACAGACACACACACACACACACACAGACACACAGACATACAGCACAGACACACAGACACACACACACACACACACACACACACACACACGATAAATAAATCTAATAAAAAATTAAAGCCAACAGAGCTGTGGGTGCCAGAGAGATGGCTATTGGCAATCAGGGAAACTGAGGCCAGGCTTTAGGAGCCTGTGTTCTGATAGTGCAGGATTTGCTGGCAGTTTTTACTTTCATTCTCACAGGAACCCAACGAGAGAGACACCAGATATAAGCCTTTTGTAGAAGAAGACTCAAAGGCTCAGCAAGGTGGACAATGTCACGCACAGATGCACAGCACATGGAAGGCCTGGCTGGACTCCCCCATGAGTGGGCTTGGAGCTGGTCAGATGTATATGAGAGGGGCACTGGCAGGGAAAAGTGCTCTGTCTTGGACCCTGAAGCTTGGAACCCAAAACGAAGAAGTATTTAATGGTCAGCCAAGCTTGCAACCTCAGAAAGCCCCCAACCAGGCGTTGACCCCAGGACCCCAGAATGGTTCCAGAGTATATCAGGCTCCAGTCCCTAGAGCCGTCTCTAGAAGCTTGGCACTGTTGTTCAGGAGGCAGGGAGGAAGGCCAAGACCCTGGATCTGCCCCAAGGAGGGGAGCAGTTTGGCCAGCGGGCCGGTGGGGCCGGACTTCTTTGTTGCACACTGACAGGGAGGTGCGGCCACCACACACTTCAGCTGCCAGTTCACTGCGGTCACTCAATCCATCACCCAGGGTGGGGGCGGCGGGCCCCCAGCCTCCTGGCGGCTAGGCCTGCAGTGTTGTTTTAGTCTGACTCGGGCTGTGAGATAAACGGGGCATGAACTGGCCCCTTGGCAGGGGGTCAGCCCCTTCTGCCCTCATTAAAGTGCCAATCAAAAAGAGGAATGGAGAAAGCTGGTGAGCTCAGCCTCTCTCTCCCCAAGGGGCAGGATCCGGGCTCCCTGAGAGAGAGCCAGCAGTGCGTTCCACCGGGCCAGCCGGGCCAGCAGCATGCATCTGGTTGCAACATTGTAGAGCTGAGGTTGGTCTGCTCTGCACGGGGGTGGGGTTTGGGGCCAGTCCTTCAAAGTAGGGAACACCCTGCCCTGGCCTGGTCTGAGGCTTATGGCTGGGTTTCTGCTGCTACTTGATAGCCATACTGGCAACGCAGGCTATCAGAGTACCTCTGCTGAGCCTCAAGGCACATCATGCTCCTCTGCTAGCTGCTGGAGAGACCATGGCCTTGTGGGTAGGGAGCCACGGGACTGTGGAGTGGTCACCGGGCTCAGGCACATACTTGGTGCTTTTGTGGCCATGCTGGAAGGGCTGAGTTCACTAATGTACTGGTGAGGCTAGGCCTAACTCTCCTCTCTACATTGTCTGATATCCTCTCTCTGTCTTGAGTCCTGTCCTCAGGGTAACTTAGCCAGTTACAGTTCCCTGGCTTCCAAAACATAAAAGTGAAAGGTGCCGAACCTAATGAAGACAGCATTGCCTATATTCTGTCCTATGGAGAGTCCAGGGCAGTCCAGATGCAGCATCCCTGAATGCCACACTGCAAATCCTGGTGTGTGTGTGGGGGGTGGGGGGTATAGGGTTGGTACAAGCTCGATGCCTGGAGGTCACAACTGGCAGAAGCCTTCTGGGGTGGGGGCTGGGGCTGGAAGTGGGGGTGCTGTATTACTTCTATACATATCCTCCACAGTCCACCTGTTCTCCAACTAAAGCCCATAATAAGTTATATATTGAAAAAAAAGAAAGCAAAAAGGAAGGAAGGAAGGAAGGAAGGAAGGAAGGAAGGAAGGAAGGAAG